ACAATTCATCCTTCTTTGTTTAGCATGATGTATAAGCTCTCAGGCCCATCAATGTCTTTGAGTCTTCCCTTCTTTTTTAGAAAGGCCCCTGGATCAGCTAAAAATTAACATTACATAAAATTTGTGTGCCTTTTCTTTCATCCATCTAGTTTGCAGGGCCCAAGCAATGAGAAAGAAGAGAGAAAAAGAATTTGTTTTCTCTCCTACCCACTCCAGTTGTATCCTTTTCACTGTCACTTTTAGAATGAAGGGTTAATAGATTTTCTATAGGTGCTTTTTGTTTTACTACCTCATCACATGTCATTTATATTAATCTCTCCATGGAAGGGTGGGCAGGAGATTTCCTCTGTTCCAGCACCAATATGAGGGCTTGGATATCCTTCAGGCAACTGATTCAGTTTCCTTTTTAATTTCCTTTGCATTTGTTCACTTTACATTTTGCTCATTTTTCCTTTTAAAGTAGCTTGTATTCTTAAATCCAAAGTGAACTGCATATTTCTTTATTTTTACTCATTTATTTATTCCACACATTAAAGAAAATTTTTCTTTAAAAAAAAATTGCAACAGGCATTGTTGGAGGCATTGGAGATATAGCAGTGTACAGGGAAAATGAAAAAAATGAATGTCCTGCCTTTTAAATATCATTTTTTTTAGAGATGGGGTCTCACTTTGTCATCCAGGCTGGAGTGCAGTGTTCTCATCATAGCTCACTGTAGCCTTAAACTCCTGGGCTCAAGTGAACCTTCTGTCTCAGCCTCCTGAATAACTGGGACTACAGGCGTGCACTGTCATATCCAGCTTGTCCTTATACTCTAATGAAAGGGGCAGGCAATAAACAAGATAAATATGTAAAATGAGACGGTAATAATTGGTAAAGATGATTCTAAGAGTAGAAGGTAAATTGTAGAAAACCAGAGAGTGATGCAAATAATCATTATGTAATATAAGTATAAATAACCTTTGTCCCGTAGAGATGCAGATGATTTGAGTCTGGTAAAAGAGATTACAACCCAATAGCTTTATTACCCTATGGGGCATTAACCAGTTTTTTATGTAATTTAGTAATCATATTCAACATTTTTCTTTCAGTGACTACAAATATATCTGTCTGTCCTAAGCCCCTTTTAACTGGCTTTCTCATCCTGCTGGCTCTCTCATCCATGACCTTGTGGACTCTTTATATATTGCATTATGAGAGCCATGGTTTTTAACTTTTTAAAAATTATACATTGGAATATAGAATGCAGTTTGTGTGCTTCTGATTTGTTATGTATCTTTAATGAGCAAACTAACAAACATTAATATATGTATATCTGTGTGTGTGTGTATATATATACATACATATATATATATGTATATATATATATATACAATTTTTTTTTTTTTTAGATAGGGTCTCGCTCTATTGCCCGGGCTGGAGTGCAGTGGCATCATCATAGCTCACTTGAATCTCATATTCCTGGGCTCAAGCAATCTTCCTGCCTCAGTCACCCGAGTAGCTGGGACTACAGGCACATGCTACCATGACTGGCCCCTAATATGTATATATTTCAAAATAAAACAATAGAGATTCAAAAAAAAAACCCTTGTGGATTGAATTTTTACATTCTAATATTGATGGATTATTAGGCATTATAAATGGAAATTATGAAGACCATGCAGTTATATGTGATGAAAGCTTATGAGAATGTTTTTTCAAATATGTAGACAGATAAATAAATAAAACATTTAAACTCCTAGAATAATATCATCTGTTTACTAGTATAACCAGTACACTAGGTATTTAAGTATTTGAAATCATTGACAATATGAGTTCTCAAGTCAGGCTGCCTGGTTCAAATCTTTGCTCAATCACTTCTTGGTTTGGGCAAGTTATTTTACCTCTCAAACTTCAGTATTGAGGAATAAATGAAATAATATAAGTAAGAAGGTCAGAACAGTGCCAGTAAGTGCTCAAAGTTAGCTACAAACTTTCTGTTTAGCTATGTTATCTTTGCAAGGAAAAGTTACAATATATAAAGTAACACAGAGCAAGTAAGTAACCATTGCAGCTTCCTATCATTGTGTCAATTATTTAAAAAATCATACAGATGTTTGTAATAATCAGTAGAATAATGTTTCTCAATATTGAAAAGTTCTTATCCAGGCTTCTTTTGAATGTATTCATTCTTATCCACCCAGAGAGTCCTTCATTTATATCTTTATTTTTTGAGTTACAGAACTTTTGACAACCACAGGTAAATTTGTTGTCCAGCCAAACCTATGTTTCAACAAATGGTATTTCTTTTGCATGAAAAAAATAAACTTCGTAAACGAATTGTTGCTTGAGTAAGCAAGCTAAAATACAAAGAAAAGATGTGGCAAACATTTATTTAGAGGACTTATACTTATCCCAAACTTTAGTAGTTAATAATTCTCCAAATAACAGAAACAAACAAGTCAAATAAATAAATAAAAATTCAATAGTTATCAAATAGGTTTTCTCCCTTAATAAAGAAAGCACTTACAGAAAAGGAGGAAACTACGCAAAAAAAAGAAAGCACTTTTCTTATTACAAAGAGATATAGAGTGTGTATACCTCTTTCATCAGAATATTCTTATAAAATAATTTAACTATTAATAATATTTATATTAACTAACCTACTGTATGTTTTATGCTACTATCCCTATGCTATAGGTGACAATACATTTTCAGATTAGTATTTCACAAGGGACCATTTATTTGAGCCCTTACTACATTGCCTTAAAATTTCAGACTGTTCTAAGTAATCCATGGGCTTAAACAATGTACTGTTTGAATTAGATGGCCTCTAGGATCTTCCACCACTGAGTTTCCATCAAATTATAAGAGGAGATAGAATTACTATAGGCCTAAATTCTATAGAGCTCATCATTCTAATTACGCCATGTAGGGAGGCCAGCTGGCTAGCTGTCAAGAGACCTCAGGAAGCTCATTTACATTGGTAAATTCACTGTTAGGCTCTGAATCTTTGCTTTGCAGGTTTAAAACTTGATTTTTGTCGGCACATTGAAAGTAAATTCTTCTCTTGGCAGAATCATATTATCCAAGCTTACAGAGACTGAAATGCCATTTTATTAATTTACAACGGGCAATAAAATTTTTATGTGAATTGTGCTGCATCAACAGGACTGGCACATTTAATCTTTAAGAACAAAACTACATGGGAAGCCAATTATAATTGAAAACTTGTTGTGGGTATGTATTCAGAACAGCAGAAGGTAGTTGAAAGATGCACCTTAGGGATAAGCTTGTCATGTGGCCTGGAGTCTTTAGAGTCTGCAACCCAAGGTTCCTTCTCCTCTTTAATAAGGTTGAGTACAAAATACAGGAACACATAGGCAATGTAGTTTATTTTGGGTGGGGCAGAGTGAGACTTACGCATGAGTAGGAACTAGGTAAAGGGAGGATGAGTACAGGGAACATTCCAGGGATATAGAATAACATATGTAATGGCCCAGAAGTAAGGGGCAGATTGTGGTGGGCCCAGAAAACTGCATGCCTGAAGTGAACAGTGGAAAAAAAAATGATGTCAAGAGATGAGGGTGGAGGGGTAGTTGAGGCAAGAGCACATGAAGACCTTGAAAGTCACAATAGGGAGTTTGAGTGTTTGTCTTCAACATGACGAGGAACCAGTGAGGAATTTTAAGCAGGAAAGTAAAAATGACCAGATTTGCACCTTAGAAAGATCATTCTGGCTGTAGTGTGGAGAATGAATTGGAGGGATGCCAGGCCCCAGACAGATGAGTTCATAACCCAGGTTAGAATGAAGGAGCTTGGAAGATGGGGTGGTGTGAGGTAGAACTTGCAGGACTGGGTCATTAACTGGATATAGGCAGAAATAAAAAGGGAACAGGCAAGGGTGATGTCCAGATTTCTGGCTTGGACATGGTGGTGTCCAGCACCGATATAGGAGCCCAGGAGAACACAGGGTGAGCAGAAGGAGATGATGAGTTCAGTTTAGTGTTGACATCTTGAATTGAGCTTGAGGATTCTTTGAGATATCTAAATGGATTTGTTCAATAGGCTGTTGAACATTTGGGTTTCATATTCAAAAGAGATCTGGACTGGAGATTTGGGGATCACCAGCAAATAAATAATAGAGTAATAGCAACCCCAGAGTGGCTGATAACCCACTGAGAATGTATGGGGGTGGATATAGTTCTGTAGCTATAAGCCTGGGTAGAGTTCACTTTGCTTAACCAAAATTATTAAAATCAACAAATAATAATGTCTGTCACTCTTCTGTGTGCATTCTGGTAAGATCTGTTCAAAGCTGAGTCATTCTAGGACACGATTGGAAGCTCCATGAAAGTAGCAGTATGTGTTTTATTTCCCACTTTATTAAACTACTGCTAATATCCTTGCTGGGCTTATCTCAGCTAATCTTCCTGGTACTGTCCCTGGTTGACTACAGCTGGAGAAATTACAGGCTCAGATCATAGATAGAAGCTCTGCCATGGATTTGACATTGGGGACTGCTATTTTATATGTTGAGAGAAAACTGGACTGAGATATGTGGATATTTGGGCAGAATAATAGCATTTATTTCTTTAATAATTAGGAAGGGGAGAAGAAATAAATATACGGTCATTTCTCTGTATCAATGGATTCTTCATCTTCAGATCCAACCAACCATGGATTGAAAATATTTTGAAAAACAAATACAACATTTAAAAAACCCACAAATTTTAAAAATACAGGATCACAACTGTTTACATAGCATTTACATTGTATTAGGTATTATAAGTAATGTAGAGATAATTTAAAATATGCAGGAGGATGTGTGTAGGTTATATGCAAATATTACACCATTTATATAAGGTATTTGAGCATGTGTGGATTTTGGTGTGGGGTCCTGGAACCAATCCCCCATGAATAACAAGGGATGACTGTATTTTTAAAATGTGTGCATCTTGTTCTTATGTTCATAATAAAGAACTGATTAAGACATTCTTTTAAAAAAATGGAATGCTGAAGAGACATTTAAAAAAATCCGATTAAGTTTATTTATTGCATGTTATTTATCAAGCAAGACAACTTCTTGGAAGGCAGATTGAGTTAATGATCACATAACAGAATATTCCATTTGTTTTTCTTAAGCAGCTTCATGCTAGCCTCAGAAGCCAAGGGAGTGTCACATCCACCGCATGCTGTTTGTTCAAAATGAGTCACCAAGTACAGCCCACCTTCAAGGAAAGGAAAATTAGATTCTACCTTTTGGTGGGAGGAGAGTCTAAGAATTTGCTGATATGTTTTAAAATCACCATGGTCTGAGAAAAAAGAGGCTATGTGTTATGGAGTTTTACCCTGTTGGTTTACTATTAACAACCAATCTTAAATTTCTCTTCCTTCCTTTTTTTCTTCTTTTTTTTTTCTTTCCTCACAGATAATAGCTATGCACTGTCACAACTGGTAAGCTCCAAATCTAATAGATAATATCACTAACTTGAAAAAAAAATGTTTAACAACGTATTTATCACCTTTCAGTTCTGTAGGCCAGAAGGCTTTAATGAATTTTATTGGGTTTAAATCAGGTATCTGTGCGGCTGGTTCCTTCTGGAAACTCAAGTGGAGAATCTGTGTTTTTGCCTTTTCTAGCTCCTGGAAGAAGCCTGAATGACTGGGTTCCTGGCCCCTTCCTTGCATCATTCCAGACTCTTGTTTCCGTTGTCACATCTTTCACTTCCTCTACCGCATGAACACCCTTTTCCTCCATTTGTTTTTTATTGTGGCAATATATACATAACATCAAATTTGCTGTTTCATTCATTTTTAAGTGTACTCATCAGTGACATTAAGTGTATTCACTGTATTGTGCAACCATCACTACCATCTATCTCCAGAACTTTCTAATTGGGAAGAGTTTTAAAATGTTGACCCTTACTTTTTTTAATTTTTATTTTTCCTTTTAATGTGGCACATAGAAAAAATCACAGCTTTTTGGACGTGGATAGGTTTCAAACTTCTCTAATCCTCCGTTAACTCATTTATGATATTTATTAATAACAGAGTTGTCCACACCACATGTAAAGAGTCTAGCACTGGGCCAGGCTCTTTGCTCTTAATAGCTTAGATCTGCCATATAAGACCATTCAGAATCTTACTTTTTCCAGTAGTTCTCTAGAGGAAGAACAGCTTAACTCTTATTTAACACAAGGTCTTAACAGCTCTTTCTCTGAATGCTGAACATGATGCACTGGCTACATCCACAGGCTCCCTTGCCCCCTGGCTTCTCATTGGGTTGGCAGAAAATCTAGAAGGTAGGTAGGAATGAGGCCAAGGTATATATACTCGTGGTACCCTTCCTTCCATTTCTAAGTGATTTTTAAATGCTCCTCTGCTGAAGTTCACGGCTCCTGACCTGCAGTCCTCTCTCATAGCACTCTTTGAATTCTGGTAACTGCTCCCTCTTCTTGCCCCTTCAGGCATTAGTCCAGGTAGATATATGGTCACTCATGCTTTTGCTAAACTAGGCTTGCTTTGCCATCTCTTACTGGTTTTCTTAATTCCTGGCTATACCTATTTTAAAAGTCCCCTCCTTTAAGATATCTTCAAATACCCTTTCTCCTGCTAGACCTGTGACTGACACCTTCCTTCTGTTTTGAAGCAAATCTTACTCAGAATCCTGTTATGTAAAACAGATAGAAGTGGAGCCACTCCAGCTGATGTGAGGGTGAATGATGTAGGTCCTTGATCACTTGCTTTTCCCCATCCACTGAGGTGGCCTCTGAGGACCCCAGGGCTCAGAGAAACATACTTTGAAAAACACTGGACTGATCAAACCCAAGGAAATGCAAGCCCTGATCAATACTGGGATGATATTTCTATACCACACTCTTTAAATATTAATAACTTCACCTGACCACACAAATGCATTTCAAGAGCACGTGAGAACCCAGCTTCAGACATTAGCTCCATTTCTAGAATTTACCTACACCATCTTTGTAGTATTTCAGAGGTTATATTACATTCAATTGGGTATTCAACTTGAGGATCCACAGGCTGGTCTTGGTTAGAAGATTGACAAGAATGAGGACATGGGTTTCATTTAAGATCAATTTCACTTTGGTTATGAATGACTTCTCTTCTAGCTAACTGGAAAAAAAAAAAGAAAGAAAGAAAAAGATAAATATTTTTATAAAAAAAATTTCACTTTGATTTACTACCAAATCAGCAAATAGCTAATGCAAAGAACATTCACAAGATCAACAAGATAATGTGTTGTCATAGTTCACCATTGCTTTTCTAGTTCTCAAAACGTGTGGTCTTAGAAAACCCATATGGAATGGGAAATCTACTGTGTCAAAAAATTCCCACCATCAACTTTCTGCCCACGATTGAAGTAGCCACAACCGCACTCAAGAGTCAAACCCTGCTTTCATAGATGGGACTTTTTGTTGTGCTGTCGCTATTACACTATTTTGTACTCTGCCCACATGCAATAGACTTGGCCATGGCCTATCACATATATTAAGAGCATTATTTTTAATAGATCTTAAAATTTAACTATTATTTGGTATTTTCCCAAATCATGCCTCCAAAAAATTTCAGTAGAGATCTGATGATTTTTCTTGGGGTTGCTAAAGGCAGCTAGAGCCTGGAGAAAACCAGTAGGGGCTAATAGAGAGTTCATGTATCTCCCCGCTCCTCTGAAGTCCTCACTCCTACCTCTCTCAGCATCCGGCCCTCAAGACCTTAAAGAAGCACAGATTGATATGATACTAGGCTTCAGTTAGTTAATTCAGTGATACTAATATAATTTGTCAAGAGTGGGTAATTCAGTTAAGTTAAAAAGAAATAAAAGCTACTTAATGCCAAATAGCTGGTTAGTGGTCCTGTTTGTATTCCTTTGCATCTATAAATTGTTTGGGGCTTACTTAAACTGCAGGGAAATACACAGATTTTTGAATAACCCTTGTGCCTAAGCAGTAGATGAAAGTCTATTATATTAGTGAAAGATTCTACAGAAGAATTCCAGTAATGAAGGCCTTGGCATATTAATGCTAACAACCAGTTTTAAACTAATTTCTGAAAAACAAAAAAAGAGCAAAGAAGTCAACTTATCACTTTTTGTCACTGAGAATGTTCCCCATATTATCTGAAAATAAAGCACCTCATGTCTAGAAAGATGGAGTGTGTGCTTTGTACGTGCACTATCGATAGTGATTAAAAATGTATTAGCTGTAGGCATGACTGTTCTGCTGCACCATAGAGACACACCCACACAACACATAGTAAAAAACAAAATGTTTGGGAGAGAAATATCATACTACATTATATAATGCGTTATACTTTACAAAATACTTTTGCATCCATTAACTCATTTGTAAGTAACATTTAATTTGCTACATCTTTTCTAAAGATCTGGAAGTACTTCCCAAGAAGTCCATTCATTGCTTCATAGACTCCATTCATTACTTGTTTTTTTTTTTTTTTTTTTCCCCCCCCCCCCCAAGGTTGTTTTTTTTTTTTGGGTTCCTTCCCTACAAACAATGTTAAAGGTTTTTTTTTTTTTTTTTCCCTTCCGGTGTGAAAATTGAGCCTCGTGGCTTGTGAATACTGGCAGAATGGTAGGCTGCAGGAGCTGTGATTTTTGATTAAATAATGACATCGTGCCCGGGAGGTCAGTTCCAAGTCCACGTCTTGTTTTGGCACAATGTTTACCTGTGACTTCATTTTTTCTTAATCTCTAAAAGAGAGGCATTAACGACAATTTCCTTCATATATTTATTATCAGAATAGGATTTAAAATTCCTTATGAGAACAGGCCATGCATGGGCTTTAGAAAGAGAAAGTGCAACATGTTAACATCAGCCCATTAAATACTGTTATGATCCAAAAAGGACAACCTCAAACTTCTCTTGCCAACTTAAATTCCAGCTTCTTCTTACCCTTTTTTTTCTGATTCTTTACTTTGCCTTTGGCTGAAATTAGAAGCAGGAAGGGAGCAGGGAAGTCGACCAGGGGCTGGATCAGGGGAGGGAAGCCCAGCAGACCGGTTAAGCACGCTTGCAACTCTCCAGCCTGCTTCGACCCGGGGCCAAGCCCAGAGTCAGCGTCTCCAGCAGAAATGAGGATCCGGCCGGGCCCGACCCTGCGTCCAGAGCCAGGAGCGGTCTCGGGAAGGGTCGCACTGGCAAACACTACAAAACAGCCTGAGGCGCCGACACACGCACCTGACGGGTGCGGCCTCCTCCCGCCCTGGTCAGGGACACCCGCAGGCCGGGCCTCAGGGGTCCGGGCCCGCCCCCCAGCGGGCACGCGGTCGGCGCGCGGGCGCGGCCCTCTGACGGCGCCTCGGCGTGCGCTCGGCCGCCACGGCGTGCCCCAGCCAGCCGGAAGGAGCGGCGGCGCCAACGTCCTGCCGCCTGTCCGTCACGCAGCCGCCCACGCTGCCGCCGCTTCCGATTGGCCACAGGCCCGGACCGGCCCTCTCCCAGCCCCGCCTCCCGCAGATGGACAGGCCAGGGGCGGGGCGGTGGCGGCACCGCCCCTCGGCGGCCGCGGGCGGGCCCGCCCAGCTGTCAGTTACGGGGGCGGCCCGGCGGGCGGGTGGGCGCTCGCAGGCTACCTTGTCGCTCGCCGGCTACCTGGTCGCTCGCTCGCCGGAGCGCACTCCCTCTTGCCGCCCGCGGGGAAGTCGGGGCCGCCCGAGCGGCCGCAGCCACCGCCTCCCCCGACCTTCTCCCCGTCCCCTCCCGGCCCGTCCCTCCCGCCCGCGCACCCCGAGTAGTGAGTGGCCCGCGCAGGGTCCGAGAGCCACCGCGGCGGCGCCGGGCGGTGTTCAGACCATGTTAAGGAGGATTTTGCAGAGGGTAAGAGAGTGAAACCGTCCGTGCGGCGGCACGTGAGCCGAGAGCCCGAGCCCGGGGCCGCGGGCGCCGCCGCCGCGCCGAGCCGCGAGGTGGCCGCGCGGGCGCCCCCTCCTCAGCCGCGCTCCTGCCTTCTCTAGGCCCCGCAGCCCGGCGGGCGCCTAGGCCGCGTCGGCCGGCCCGGGGCGGGCCGCAGGGGCGGGTGGGGCGCGGCGGGGCGGCAGGCCGGAGCTCCGGTGGCCCCGAGCGCCCGGGCCGGCTCCGCTGCGGCGCGGGGCTGTCGGGGCGAGCGGGCTGCGAGCTGGAGGGTGTGGTGCCGGCGGCGCGTTCCTCCGGGATCCCAGAGTGGGGATGAAAATGGAGAGTTGGTGCCTGTGGGACGGGCGGGCCAGCCGCCTGCCGGGCTGGAGCACGCCCGGTGGGAAATTGCGGGGCAGCTTGCTTCGCTCTTCCGCACCCTCCCCGCCCACCGTGTCCCCCAACTTGACACGACGGGGCACCTGCCACGCACGGCCTCCCCGTCTCATCTGGACCGCGCTGGAGGGTAATGTGCTGAGACCCGGCCTGGCGTGGGCCCACTCGTGGGACTGACACTTACTGGCGAAGTCAGCTGAGAAGGAAGATATTACTCACTGTTGGAAACTTTCTTTTAATTAAAAAATGAGTTTCCCCTCCAAGGCCCAGTACCTTATTTTAGCTCTCCAAGAATAAATCTGCAGTAAGCTTTATTATATGATACACACTTAGTTTCTGCCAGTGTTATCTCTACTTGGAATCTGGAAAACCTTGAAAAATAAAAGGATTAGAGCATTTGAAAACTGTAGGTGTATCGTTTAGGAATCAATTCCTAGAATAACATTAAAATCTCTTTTCGTATAAGAGTTACTGTACGCAAGTTTTTGTTTTGTATAGCTTAGCTTTTTTTCTTTCTTTTCTTTTTGAGGCTGATAGAGTATTAAAAAATGTAGGTGATTGAAAAGTAGGTGCCAAACCAATTAGTTCTTTACCAAGGGAGGATAATTAGTTCAAAGGACAAAAGAAATTAGTGATTTTGTAGTATTCAGCCAAAGAATGTGTCAAAGAGAGTTGAGTCATCCAGTGTATAGAAAGGGAGTGTTCTTGCTTCTGCATAGCTTTCTGGTGAAATGTTGAAGTCATGTGAAACTTGATCATCTATTGGTTAACTTCTTTATCTGACACCCTGTATTGACATTTGATTATATTTTGCAGTGATTTTTGTCAGGGTTTTGAAATCTTGATAAGTGATGATTTTGGCAGTAGCAGGGAGTAGCAGGGGTATGCCTTTTACTCTCCCTATCACTTAGTTTATTCAAAGTAAAGACATCTGTGCATGATTTACTTGCAGTGCTTAAGAGGTTTTTCTTTTATTAGACCTGGAGGAACTGATTACTTCCTGTCTCAGATTGTGTTGCTGTCATAGTTCCACAAGTGAAAATTAATTTGCATGTGGTTTGCTTTAAAGTTTATTTAAAAAACCAAAGTGTTTACTGATTTAAGAGTAGCTTCTGGTAGTTATAGATTAGTTTTTAGAAATATAAAATGCTTTCCAGTACTCTTGGTTTAATGTTGTTAAGCATTGAGATTATATAAAGATCATTTTTAGTGTTGGTGCATACATATCAACTGTTATAGAAGCTTCAGTTGGAACTACAAAATTGGGGTTTATTTTGGTTATTGCTGAGATGTAATATTGAATCATCACATCTGAATAATTCAGTTGACAGCTGAGTTTCTCAACTGTGGCACTACTGACATTTGTGACTGGATAATTCTTTCTTGTAGGGGGCTACCCTGTGCATTATAGGATGTTTAGCAGGATCCCTAACTTCTAACTACTAGAAGCTGGTAGCAATCCCCCCAAATCCCCTTGTCGTGATAGCCAAACATATCTCCAAATTTTACCAAATGTCCCCTAGGGGCAAAATTGCCTCTAGTTGAGAACCACTGTGTTAAATTTATTCACTCTTTAATAGGAAAGTTGGGAGTGTTTCTCATGATTGATTAACTACTTAACTTTCTTTTATTATGTGTACTTATACTGAGTTTCAGTAAATTCCAGGCATTTATGCTAGGGGCTGGGAAACAGTTTAATAAGATATGGGTCCTCCCTTTAGAACTCATGGTGTGGTTGGAGAGGTGAACATTTAAAAAGTAATTATAGTGCTGTGTGTGGAATAATGAAGAGTGCTCTGGGAGCTGGTTTGTGGGATGGTGGTAGGACAATCAGGGAGAGCTTCAGGGACGAGGGGATATACGCAGCTCAAAAGAGGGAAGGACACGTCAGGCAAAGGGAACAGCAAATACAAAGACAGGGAGTCTTGTAATGGAGCAAGTAATACTAGGGGGAGTGTGAACAATTAAGTTTAGGAAGTGAGATGATATGCAGGCATTGGTGAGAGATGAAGCTAGGGAGTTTAGCAAGAGACCAGATTATGGAAGGACCTAGAGTCCCTTTGAAGGAGTTCAGCTTTTATCTTGTAAGTGGGTCAGTGTTAATGCTTAGCATTCAATAGGGATATTTTGATAAAAGTCTTAAAGAAATTTGGTGATTTGTATTACTACTTTAGAACATAGAATATATGTTTTCTTAACTGTACAGGTGGTATTTACTAACAAGTGTAACTTGAATCTTTATGTAACATGGAAACAATTTTATTTTACTATTAATATAGTTGCTGATTTAGAGATTGTTTGAAATGGTCTCCATGCTTTTAAATTATATTGTATTCCTTTAACATTCTGTTTTTAGATGACCTTTTCATTTTAACAATTGTAATTTTCTCCTGAATACTCTCCTCTAAATAGCATTTTTGAAAGAAGAGACAGACAATGTGATTATGATCAGTGATAACTCATAGTCTTTGAACATCACCAATACGGTCCCTGGGTACTTAATAGAAATTTGGTTTCTAGTTCTCCTTCTCCTGCTCTTTCTTCATTAGCTTAATAGATGGTGTTTGTCTGAGGCTTGAAAGGGCCTGGAAAAAACTCCCATAAAACCAATACAATGAGGTATCTCCAATATGTATGTATTGGATATTTTGCTTAATGGTCCTTTGAAGAAAAACATGAATGGTTGTTGATGGCCAGAAAGATGATCGACATTTAAACTTTGCCATTTCTTTCTTAAGGAACTTACTGTGATTTAATAGTAGTATATTTCCTTTTGCTGGAAAATATCAATAATATTTCTAAAAATGGATTTAATTATTCCATAATTGTAGAAATAGAAAGGCTACTTTTATGGTCATCAGGGCTGTCTGATTTTTAAAATGAGGAAGTAAAAACTGAGGGAGATTAGGTGGTATCTAAGGCAACACAGTAGATAGATGTCAAAGACTTATAGAGAATAGAGCCAAATTTTCCCAACTCCCAATCCATTTCCCTTTTCCTGGCACTTTGCTGCCCTTTTCTTTTCTTTTGGTAGCCAAATGTTGTCAAGCAAGTTGCTGCCCCGTTTTTTTCATTACTTGACTATTAATGATATGCTTAGCACTATGCTAGTCACTGTGGAAGATATAGGAAAAATATGAGACCCAGCTTCTGCCTTGAGGAACTTACATAATTAAGTGCCAAAGTAAATGATACAGACAATGAAGGCTGTAGCAGTACAGAGGAGGAAAGGTCAGAATGAACATGTGTGAGTGGGACTGAGATGGGGTTTTGAAGAATGTGACTGAGAGAGGAAAAGTTTCATTGCAGGAAGGAGTTAGAGTGTAAGCAAAGACACAAAGAGGGAAGTGAGTTTCTTTGTCCTGCCTTCCCTCTTTTCTGAGCAAATTGCCTTTCAACAAATAAATATCCATAACATTTGCTATGTGCTAGATACTGGGGCTATAACAATGAATAGACACAATCTCTGCCCTTCAGTAGCTTAAAACCAAGTGACTTCAGAGATAGGTCTATTTAGAACAGAAAGAAATTGAGAAATTTGCAAAGGTAGTGAGAAACCTCATTGTGGAGATACTTGATTGTTGAGCTCAGCACTGTCCAATGCAAATGTAAGTCACATAAGTAATTTTAAATTTTTTGTAGTCATATTTTTAAAAAGTAAAAGGTGAAATTACTTTTAAAAATATATTCCCTATAACCTAATATATCTATAATATTTCAACATGCAATCAATATAAATATTATTGAGATATTTTACATTATTTTCTTGTACTAAGACTTTGAAATGTGTGTATTTTACATTAATGGCACATCTCAAATTGGACTAATCACACATTTCACCTGTTCAGTAGCCTTGTATAGCCAGGGGCTACTGTATTAGACAGTATAGACCAATACTCTTTTATTAGTCTAGTTGGAGAGGTGTAATCTTTAACTTCTTATTTGGAACTCATTTCAACTTAAAAAAGTTGCAAGAATAAAATAATGTAAGGAATACCTATATATTCTTTTATCAGATTCACATGTTATTAACATGTTACCCTATTTACTTC